CTCTTTCGTTCGTTAGCCTCTTATTGGGGTAGGGTCGGCTCTCTCTTTAGAGACGGAAACCGTTTATACGCATTCCCTTGCTAACGCCACGGCCATTTATAGGCCATATTTTATGCCCCGAAAACCCCCCCAAAATGTCATTTTACCTCATGCAAAATGATTATGAAGAAAAACTGTGATAACGCCATTACGAACGTGTAGCTCGCGCACAGTTTTTCCTTCATAATCATTTTGCCTTCGGCGTAGACTAGAAGAGATGAGATTTATATGATGTCATGCGCAGCGAGAGTTAAAATACGTCTTGCAAGATTTTCAACATGGATTTCGATTTTGACCCATAATTTCCTAAAAAGGGACCATTAAACGGATTATTTCAGTCAAGTTGGTAAGTGGAACCGATTTATTATAGCCTAGGCCTAATTTTGAATAATCAATGCATCGGATCATATGCATGAGCAGGCGCGTACGCAGGATTTTTTAAGGGGGGGGGGGGGTTAACATTTATAAATCGGGCCGAAAATTTCGCAACGACTCAGCCGATCACTGAATAAGCGGGTAGGGGGGGGGGGGGTGAGAGGACACTTTTTTTTTTTTTTTTTTTTTATACAAAAAAAAACAAAAAAATCCAAAGGGGGGGTTTAGGGGGTTATGGGGGGGGGGGGTTTACACACAGAAAATTACCACAGGGGGGGGGGGTCCCAAAAGAATCGCAGCGACTCAGCCGACCACTGAATAAGCGGGTAGGGGGGGGGGGTAAGAGGATACTTTTTTTTTTTTGTCTCGAAATTTGAAAATTTGACATTTTGCTCCCTTGGGGGGGGGGGGTAAGGTCACCCATGGGAATATTTTTTTTATAAAAAAAAAAAAAAACAATCCGAAGGGGGGGGGGGTTATGGGGGGTTTACACACAGAAAATTACCAAAGGGGGGGGGTTTAACCCCCACCCCCCCCCCCCCCTTGTGTACGTGCCTGTGCATGAGGTAAAATGACATTTTGGGGGATTTTTCGGGGCATAAAAATATGGCCTAAAATGGCCGTGGTGTTAGCAAGGGTATGCGTATAAACGGTTTCCGTCTCTAAAGAGAGAGCCGACCCTACCCCAATAACAGGCTAACGAACGAAAGAGATGGAAAATTCGGCCTAATATGTTTGTAATTAAACTATTGAAGTAAACTACATGCATATATCTTTAATAGATATCATTGCTCATTATACAGACTTTATTATGTGTGTAAATGTTTGAACGGTATCATATAACCTTGTACCCACTGACAAATATCGAATTAAATTATATATCTTAAAATATATATCTTGGAAGAATGAAAACTCAGCATGTACATGTAGATATACCGTAACAAAGATGTTCGTATGTTCATTAACTAGTTTATGTTTTGAATCGTCAAAATGTGCCTGCAAGTCTTCAGAGTTCTGTCTTGTAGAGTCTATGCTTCTACTAAACAGTCGGGTGGTGGCGTCTGGAATCGGGAAACACATCCCAAGAGGAACACGTTTTTAACTTCCCCCCTGATTCAACATACTTGAAGACACAGCTGCCCGGCAACCCGACTGTTTAGTTATATAAAAGCCTTGTACGCTAGCTAGTATAATAATAAAACCAATATGTACTGGATAAAAATCGAATCAATTGAATTCAATTGAAATCATGTAGTACTACTGTCGAATATTTGATTGATAATTGTATGTAATGTTATTGTCTATCTTGAATCTAATAAAATGTGGTTTTAAAATGGAATTTGTCTCTACAAATTGTCCGTCTGTGTCTTCCCCTTTCGAAACCTAGCTTACACCATCATGAACATCGTCTCTGCCACTCTTTCTTGTCTCTTATTTTTTTTTCACCGGGGTTTCTTTCTGTGTTTTCTTTTTCTATACCTTTTTCATCCATAACTTTCTCTCTTTCTCTTGATCTTTCACCAAGGCTATCCATTGGTATGCATTTGGCGAGGGTCGTAGAGCATGTCGATGTATGCAGTATTGCATACTGTCCATAGGTCTGTATTATGCTAAGCCAATGAATTCAATGCAAAATTGTTTCAGTATCCCTCTCAGCTGACGTCACCGAGACGCAAATATCCAAACACAATCAGTGGCGGATCCAGGGGGGGGCACAGGGGGCACGTGCCCCCCCCCCCGGCCAAAAAAAAGAAAAGGAGAAAAGGAGGGGAAAAGAAAAGGAGAGGAAAAAGAAAAAAAGGGGAAGAGCGAAAGAAGAAGAAAAGAGGGAGGAAAGAAAAGGGGAGAGGAGAAAAAGGAGGGGAAAGGGAAAGAGAGAGGAGAGAAAAGGCGGAAAAATAAGAAAGGCGGAAAGACGGAGGAGAGAAAAGGGGGAAAAGGAGAATAATGAGAAGGGAAAAGAAAGAAAAGGGGATGATATTATAAGAAGGTGTTTTTTTTAGCGGGTAAGGGGCGGGGGGGGGGGGAGCGGGCATGCAATTTTAAGTCGAACATGACTAATACCAAAGATTTTATCTCCTTTATAACTTCTAACTTATAACTTAGTCTTGAATTAATTTTCCTATATACCTATTCTAACTGCTCTTTCAGCATGCAGATTGTTCCCGCCATTAATCCTGCCACAGTTGCTGGTTTCATTGTCATATTATTTTCTGTCAACCCTGTGGCCGCGAAGTTTCTATCCGTTTCGCAAGCACATTTTCCATCTGCCACATGTAATGCTTATATTGCTTCCAGTTTGCAAAAGATCCCAGTGGCGGATCTGTGGGGGATGGGGAGGGGTTAGGGGGTTTATCCCCCCCCCCCTTGGGCTGCCTAGTGAAAATGTGATGTGAATAGAAAAACGCCATCATGTGTCCAGACCCACACAGTATCCACATCGTCACCGGGTCAAACCCCCCTTAAACTGTTACTTGATTTAAAAAGACGTTATCGTGCACTGCCTTTTATAGTCTCCATTGTGTTAGTAGATGCCAGGAAAACATCACTTACGAAGGTTCAAAATAGTAACAACAAAAAAAAATCGCCTCGCCGCTACCCGGCTCGGACTAATTCGCGGCTCGTGGACGATGTTCCGCATCGTCATTGGGTAGAACCCCCCTTAAACTGTTACTTAAGTGATTTAAAAAGACGTTCTCATGACATGATGTTTATGGTCTCCATTGTGTTAGTAGATGCCAGGAAATCATCACTTACGGGGGTTCAAAATAGCCCCCCCAAAATCGCCTCGCCGATACGCGGCTCGGACTTCGCGGCTCGTGGACGATGCTCCGCATCGTCATGGGTCGAACCCCTTTAAACTGGTACTTGATTTAAAAAGACGTTATCATGCACTGTTTTTATGGTCTCCATTGTGTTAGTATATAGATGCCAGGAAAACATCACTTACGGAGGTTCAAAATAGCACCCCCAAAAAATCGCCTCGCCGCTACGCGGCTCGTGGACAATGCTCTGCATCGTCTTTGGGTCGACCCCCCTTAAACTGTTACTTGATTTAAAAAAGACATAATTATCATGCAATGCTTTTTATTGTCTCCATTGTGTCAGTAGATGCCAGGAAAACATCACTTACGGGGGTTAAAAAAAAGCAACAACAACAACAACAAAAATCGCCTCGCCGCTTCGCGGCTCGTGGACGATGCTCCGTGTCGTCATTGGGTCAATCTCCCTCCCTCTTAGCAAATAGCCAGATCCCATCATCCGCCCCTGGATCCCTACTCTTTGAGGGGGTAGGAAAGGCAATTTTACGTCATATCACTCCAGGAAATGCCTGAAAATGCACCTAATGTGGATCTAAAATTGCAAATGCTTCCTACTCAGGGAGGGGGTTCTGACCCCCTCCCAGACCCACCCCCGCTTGGTGGCTCCGCTCCCTCGCCGCTGACGTCTCGCTCCATCGTTTTTCATATATTTCACCCCATGCGATTTTGTGCCCCCCCCCCGATAAGAAATTCCTGGATCCGCCACTGACAATAATACAATAATACAAAAATACCACGATTCATAATTATATCGACTGTAATATTCATTTCACACTGTGTACATAAAGCCGAACTCACTAACCGGTGACCGGGACTGTGAACTTCCCACACAGTTTGAAGAGAAAATAATAGTAGAAGTTAACTAATCGAACAACTTAGAGACAGACACAGAGAGAGAGAGAGAGAGAGAGAGAAGAAACAAAGACTGGAAAAAACCCAATAAATTTTCCCTATTCTTCTGATCTTGCACGCTATTTGACCTTGATGCCACTGCATCAATATTATTGGTGTCTTCTATAGATTTCAAATAAAAATAATATGAAAAATCGCGTCGAAACAATTTCTTTATCTCTTGCAATCTGAGTCATCCTCATGTAAATGGGGGGGGGGGGGGTGGGGGTGTGCTCTACTCCACTGAGTTGTGGATTTATTGATATTATTCAATCGGGATTTTTTTTTTTTATAAACAGCTTTCTGAGTGCAACATTTGACTGCTGGAGAAGAAGTGAACCTTCCGTAACCCATATGGTCCTTCTCCCCTACAAAGTATTGTACTATTGTACTCAGAAACCGGAAGAAAAGTATACATCATGAAGACACCGTTATGTATTTAGAATCCATAAATATTCACAGAGAAGCAACATAGAATAAAGTAGAATGTGAATGTGTAAACGTGAACAATGTCAATGTTTACTATTAGGAAAAAGAAAGAACAATATTCTTGTGAATTTCAGATATTACGAAATAAACTTTTAATTGTATTATTCAAATCCCAATATGTCAGAGAAATTGAACCCTATAAAAGGTGCCTCTCGTGTCTCATTTCTCAGTGACTCGTATTGGTGAATGGGTAATCATTATCTATCACAGCATAATAAGAAATAGCATGAGAGAGGAGATATTAAGTTGGAGGTGTACTGCGTAAAGGTAAACAAACCTAGAGGGGCGTTATGAACTCTGTAAGCAGTATGACAAAAAAAGAATAAAGGCGCTAGCTCATTTTGCTCACTCGGGCCCTCCCTTATAAGCCTTAGCCAGTACATATCACGAATGATATGATAACGAGCAATGCAAATCAAAAGCAAATAAAAAATATCCATTTTACATCCACTTTATTGGTAATTGTCTGTGATTGTGCGTGGGTGTGGGGTTTGAAGGTGTGTGTACTTTGTGCGTGTATTTTTGTATGGTTTGACAGGAAGGGGACATGGTCCGGTGGTCCGGAAATCCAATAAACACTGTATTATGAATCACGCACGTAGTTGAGCCATTTAGAAGTATACTTACTGTGACTGCATCAGAACTTCCCCATTACAGTCTAAAGCGGAATTGTGCTGTCGTATGTGAGTAAATATTCGAATATTATATTCACTTATTAACTGTAAAGATAAAGGGAGTGCATCATCATGAATGTTGTTGGCAAGCTTGATTACTCAATTTCACACTTTTGGGATTTGATAACACAGGTTCCGCTAGACGCCTGCCACAAACCGTGCATACTTTCTCTGTTAAAGGGGTTAAACTTGGGAGACGTTGAGTGTTAGTCACAATGACATTTTAATGGGGGTAGACTTATTGTGCTATGGACTAGTATTTGACATTCAAACGATTGTCATACTTCTATGATTAATTGAAACATTAATTAAGTAAAACAATTTGGTGAAATACAAGCACTATATTAATTAATGTCAATGATCCATTTGATTATCCACAGGTCAGAATACATCAGAAACATGGCATTCTATAAGCAGCAAGATATATCTGAGCAACTGGTCCAGCTTTCAAGTGCTAACACCAGATTCGCCCTAGATCTTTATCAAACATTTCAAGATGAACGGAGAGGTACAAATCTGTTTTTCTCCCCTCTCAGCATATCGACCGCTCTAGCTATGACACAGCTAGGAGCATGTGGTGATACAGCGACTCAAATAGCTGATGTCTTCCGTTTCAATCAGGTTGACCAAGACCAACTTCACGGAACATTCAAAGAGCTGAACAACTTGCTTTACCAAACAAATTCCGGTTACAAACTTCATGCTGCCAACAGGCTCTATGGAAAATCTGGCTACAACTTCGTTCAGTCATTTCTTGAAGGAACTGCTTCTTATTATGGAGCAGCCATAGAGGCAGTGGATAACTTTGCAGCTCCAACTGCCACTCACTCAATCAATGATTGGGTCTCAAAGCAGACCGAAGATAAAATCACAAACCTGATCCCTCCTGGAATCCTAAATGATCTCACACGCCTTGTCCTGGTGAATGCCATCTATTTCAAGGGGAACTGGGAATCAAAATTTCGTGCCGAAAATACTACACAAGAAACATTCAAGGTTTTAGATGAGAGAAAGAAGGTTCCGGTGAGTCTTATGATCCAAAAGGGTAAATTTGCTTTGGCTGTTGACAAAACCAATGACTGTCTTGTGCTAGAGATGCCATATCAAGGCCGCAATCTGAGTCTTTTGATTGCTCTTCCTGTCAAAGATGATGGCCTTGGTAACCTTCAGACGAAGCTCTCTGCAGACATCCTTCGATCCTGGGACGCAGGGCTCAAATCAAGACAAGTGAACGTACTATTACCAAAGTTCAAATTAGAAGCAGAATTCCAATTGAAGGAGGTTTTGAAACGAATGGGAATGCCCGACGCTTTTAATGATGGCAAGGCTAACTTCGAAGGCATCTCAGGTGATAGAGAGTTGTACATCTCTGCCGTCATCCACAAGGCCTTTGTTGATATCAATGAGGAAGGGAGTGAGGCAGCTGCTGCAACGGCTGTTGCAGTGAAGTTGGGATGCGCTCGACCAAGAGAACCTGAGAAGCCGACTCTGTTTCGAGCAGACCACCCATTTATCTTCATGATTCGTCACCGGCCGACGAAATCGGTCCTTTTCATGGGACGAATGATGGATCCCTCCTAGATTTGGACCGCCATGTCCACGCTTTAACAAAAATTACATTTTCTCTTTCGGCAGTTGAATCAAAATGTGTTTGGAATAACCTATGTAAGCTTGATAATCAGTTCATGACACAATATAAATGTTTCTTGCGTTTTGATACCCACTGTCTTGTTTTCTTCAGGCGAGGCTCAAGTTATCGTTGATGGGTAGAGATCACTACAATCGTATGCTAATTGTCACTGCCTGGTTATACTGGTATAAATTACTGCTATACAACACACTTAACGTAGAACCCAGAATTTAAATTATTCAACAGTATTGATGCAAATGCGTAGGATTAAAAAAACATGGGAGTGATTGAAAAAACAAAACAAAACAATGTCTGAAATTTAAAAACTATGTGGTTACATTGCAGGTGCAGAGCAAACTAATTAATCATTGACTTCTATACTTACAGTGTAGTGTGATATTTCCTATTATTGTGGGTAATAGATTACTAATATATGGTACTCCATTTATTTCAAATTAGCCAGCTCATGGAACTTTAATTTAAAGAATGGGTGATAATGGAATGGAATGCTCCCCAGGGAGTGGAGAATGTGTATACATTGTGTGCGGGTAAGCCTGAATCCTATGACTGGGGTAATAATATATATATATCTGTAAAGCGCTTTGAGAGGGCCTTCGGTCTTGAAAAGCGCTATATAAGAACTAGCTATTATTATTATTATTATTATAAAAAAAACTAAGTATAGGTACATGACTAAAATTTAACAAGTAATTATCTGAAAACTCCAGTTACATAAGTAGTTTGTTGAATTTGATACGTTATTGCTAATTATAGGATTTACTGTGTCTGTGACATATTCTAACAGTATGATCATATATCTTTGTATCCAAACTATTGAAGTAAACTACATGTATATATCTTAAATACATATCATTGCTCATTATACAGAATTTATTATGTTTGTAAATGTTTGAACGGTATGATCATATAACCTTGTACCCACTGAAAAATATCGAATTTTAAATTATATATCTTAAAATATATAGCTTGGAAGTAAGAAGACTCAGCATGTACATGTAGATAAACCGTAACAAAGATGTTCGTATATTCATTAACTAGTTTATGTTTTTGTATCGTCAAAATGTGCCTGCAAGTCTTCAGACTTCTGTCTTGTATGCTTCTACTAAACAGTCGGGTGGTGGCACCTGGAATCGGGAAACACATCCCATGAGGAACACGTTTATAACCCCCCCCCCCCTGATTCAACATACCTGAAACACAGCTGTGCAACGACCCGACTGTTTAGTAAAAGGGACTTTTAGATTTGCATGACGACATAGTGGACTATTACGTGTGACGTCCTTATAATGCACTGTTATGCCCTTTAAAGGCACCGGCAGCGCCTTATAAGGACGTCACGCGTAGCAGTCCACTATGTCGTCGTGCAAATCTAAAAGTCCCTAATATAAAAGCCTTGTACGCTAGCTTGTAAAATAAAAGCAATATGTACTGAATAAAATCGAATCAATTGAATTCAATTGAACTACTGGTGAATATTTGATTGATAATTCAATGTAATGTTATTGTCTATCTTGAATGTAATAAACTGTACTTTTAAAATGAAAATTTGTCTCTACAAAATGTCCCTCTGTATCTTTCCCTTTCGAAACCTTACACTATCATGAACATTGTCTCTGCCATTCTTTCTTATTTCTTTTATTTATTTCATCAGGGTTTCTTTCTGTGTTTTCTTTTTTTATACCTTTTTCCTCCATAACTTTCTCTCTTTCTCTTAATCTTTCATTGGTATGCATTTGGCGAGGATCGTAGAGCATGTCGATGTTTGCAGTATTGCATGCTGGCAATAGGTCTGTATTATGCTAAACCAATGAATACAATGCAAAATTGTTTCAGTATCCCTCTCAGCTGACGTAACCCAGACGCAAATATCCAAACAAAAGAAAATGACGCGATTCATATCGATTGTAATATTCAATTCAATTCAATTCAATTTTATTTCGCAATATTAAAATCAAAATATACAAAGTAACAGTAAATTTTATCTATGTTTACAAAGGTTATATGCGGGGCTTTCCATGAAGGTTGCGAAAACCTGTGAAGTTGGAACGCCTATTAAAGATTGAAAAACAATCCAAAAAGAAATATTATAAGCATACAACAATAAATTAAGTAAAATAAGCAAAGTACAAACACTTCAACTTCCTATAAGACAAGAGAAAGTAAAATAGAGAGAAGAAAAACAATATATAAAGGGGGAAAATAAAGGAAAGGAAAACAATGAAAGAGGGTTCAGATATAAAATTTGAAAGAAAAAAAATATCAACAACTGTGCTGATTAATAATTATTTGGTAGTAAGATTTTATATTGTTTTCTAAAGGAAGATATGAATTGTGATTTCGTTATTACTTGGGGAATCATATTCCACTGTTTAGGACCTAGATAACTCATTGATTTAGCTTCATAACTAGACTTAACAGACCATAAATGAAATTTGTTGGAAAGCCGTGTATTATAATTATGAATTTGATTATTATATTGAAAGAGGTCTGAAAAGGGGGCAGGTAACAACTTGTTTTTATATTTGTACATGAACGATGCGATTTCTTGCTTATTTATATCATGTATATTTAATAACGATAGCTTCTTAAACAAAGGTGCGGATGGTGCTAGATAATGAGAATTGGTAGCTATTCTTAAACATTTCTTTTGAACTTTAAATAGTGAGTCTAATTCAGTTTGTGTTGCAAACACACCGTGTTCATAAAGGGTAAATTATTTATTTCGATTGTGAACTTTACACAAAGATCACCTATTGATGTTGTAGGAGAAAGCGGACATTACTCAAAATTCATAAATATACTCATATACACAAGTCATGTATATCACTCGGCTTTACAGAGTTCTACGGAGTTTAATGCTGGCTATCGTATAAATAGATACGTGAAATATTTAACATTTTCTTCTTCATTTATGGAAACTATTATTGGTGTCTTATATTTGCATAGGTATGTTTATTATAGTACATGTATTAATAATGTACATTGGTAGACATTAATTAATTATGTCCCTTTTACAGCCAACATCAAATTCTGTACAACTTTGCAGGAATTATGAATATGTCATGTATGTTATTTAAACATTAGCAGTGTCCAAGTATTCAAGTTATGCAAACAAACCATCTAGACTTCACTGTCAGACACTATTCAGTAATCGACTAACATTTTTTTTTTGGTGGTAATAACATACATAAAATGAGATGTACAGGTACATGAGCATTTGTCTACATCAATATCCCACTTCTTGTAATGGCCAAAATTAAACTGATTGAATCGTTTTGCAGCACAAAACTTTGCGATCATTCAGTAAAATGGTCTGAAAATCAGACTATTACTAAGGTGATTGCAATCACTTAAGTCGATTTGACAACTAATGGTCGTTATTTTCTCACTAAAAGCAGTGTCACAGCCATGCTCGACCAACTACAATGGCCATCTCTGCAAGAAAGGAGAGCCCAGGCGAAGGTAGCGATGATGTTCAGTTTCAAGAACTCGCTGGTAGCCCCCAGACAGTTCTGACTCCATCACTACCTGCTTTGCTAAGAGGCCACGACCAGAAACTCCAAGTGCCATATTTATGCTCGGACACAAGTTCTTCAAAGGAGCTTCTTTCCAGATGCCACCAGGCTCTGGAACTCACTACCGCAGGCCGTCGTCACATGTACCTCTCTGCTAAACTTTAAGAGAGAGGTACTCAAGATCCAGCTACGGATGTCTTTTTATAACTGCACATAGCTCATTGTAGACCTTTTATTGAGACACTACATGTATATATTACACCTGCACAGCACCTACATCAGTACGAGAATACACCCGACGGTGGCCTGTACTTATAGTGAAGAAGAAGAAGAAGAAGAAGAAAAAGTCATTTTCAAGCCGTTTCGTTTAGAGGGACGTTCTAATTTAGTATTGTCTTTAAGATGACATTGGAATCTAGCCTTTTATTTTTTTTTGGCCTGCAAATGGGACATAGTACCTTTTACATACTCTCTCAATTCTTTTTTTGCACTCAAATGTATATGATTTTTGCGCGGGGAGTGGGCAAAAAATGTTCGAATGATACACAGCATAAGGAAGCTAATATTATTAACGGTAATACAAAGTTTTGGGAAATTTTGAAAATTGGGTGGATAGTAATTCTTTACAGTTTTGATATATTTGGATGCCCCTGTGGATGTATTGTAACCACGAGAAAATTTAGCCCCTAAAACACTTCTGCTTTCGAGAAAAAGTGAAAACGAGCTCTACATAACAATATATTTTTTATATTAGCAGTCTATCTTATGGGAACTTTGTTCCTCTGATTTGTATATAGACCTAGGCTATATCAATCGATATAAATTGTATTATTTCTTCTTTATAGGGGTAAATAAATAAATGAGCAGACTTTGTGTCCTATAAATCCCGTTTCTCCATAGGATAGGCACGCTTTTATAGCACTGTCTTTCAAGATACATCTGGGGGCTGTTTCTCGAAACCGTCATAACTACAAGATCAACGACATCTCGACACTGTCGCGCAACTTGTCAGCTAAGTGTTTCACGAAGCCGTCTTTGCCAAGATGAGCGACAACTTCAGCGACAATGAGTTGTCACTGCTCCGAACCCGTCATATCTTTTTTAATGCTGTAAAGCGCCACCACAAGTCAGTTTGTTGCTATTCCATGGGCCGCGAAATGTACGATTAGTTTCAATATCATTGTGGGAAAGATATACATGATTCCGGTATACGTAATTCTCTTGGATGCTCATTCTTTATAAAGCATGATTCCCTAATTAGCATTGATCTACCACGAGGCTCATGCTGTTCACTTGTCTGTCATTTTAGTTCCAATAATATTCGATAGGTGACCTCATCATTGCCTTATCTTATCATCTTTGGGGAGGGGTGGTTGAAACCAAATTAGCCATGTACGTGTAGACTTTATGGATAGGCTTAAAAGATATATTGTGGACTTTTCTTAGAAATTTTGAAATTTAAGTCCCATTTTCTTCTTCCATTCAAACCATAATTATTGTAAGCAAACCAATTAAAGTACCAATTAAAGTACCCAATTGCAATCAGCAATGTATTGTTTTTTGTATCCATATCATTTCTGCTAAACAAAGCTTACAATTGATCAATTCAAATTCAAAGTGTATTCAATACTCTTCATAAACACATTTAAAACATACAAATACAGAATGGAAGGATAAAAAACAAAATAGTGATATATACATATATACAAGTTTTCACGAAATATATTGGACATGGACTGACCCAATTAATGTACTCCAGTCATCATCATTTTACTATATATACCCTGATATTTCGAATGTGATATTGCCAAGAGAATATTAAGGAAAAGGACTGGATCAGTTTGTGAAGGTATGTTCAGCTGGATATATCATGCATTTTCTGGAATATGATTGTTATTTTTGAAGATCATTCTGAGTGAAACATACTGTTGGATACTTAGGTCCCATCCGCTTACTTTTGAGTCGGTATATTCTATATACCAGCTCTGTTGACTTTCGCTGTACTTTCGTGCCTTATTCGAGTGCAACCATCTGGAGAACCATGTATTGTGATGCTTTAATCTGATTAACTTGACTATTGTATATAGCAGTAATCCCATTACTGGTTCTTCTATATACTGATTACACTGCACCTTTGGACCAATGGAGGATATCAACGATGAGACCGAAAATGACCTATTTCAAACCCCATCAGACTTTCAAACAATCTCCCAGGACAGTCATGATAACACCACAGATATGAAAGTTTGTAAAGCGTGCGACGAAGAGAGCGAGTTGACTGCTATGATAAAATGCAGCAGTAAAAAGTGCAAGTCTTTCTACCATTTTGCCTGCACAGGAATGCCCGCACATATGCTGACTTATATAAGACGTGTAAGTGGGGCAAAATATATATGCACTGAATGTGAACTTGCTGATGATGATATTATCCAAGCATTGGAAACGACATATACATCTACAAATAATGAATCAGAGGAAAATACCAGTGACGAACACACTAAAAGAACCCCAACAGATAATCATAGAAATGGAGGTGAAAGCGATATAACCCCACTGAAAGACGCAATAGAAAATATGGAGAAAGAGATAATAAACTGTATAAGGGATATCCATGAGCAACGAAATGATACTAGAAATACTGCAGAGAAAGATCAACTGAAAGCAACAGAAAACAGACAACGACAGAAGATACATAATTTATGTTGAAGGAAAACATACATCAACTGAAGACAGAAATGAATCTTCGAGCAACTGAATATGAGTTGTTGCTCAAAGAACAAAGAATGATAGTAAAAAACAAGGAGAAAGATGTGGCTATGCATCAGAAATATCAAGAAAATGCAGAAAGGATGGCGAACAAACTTCAAATTGAACTTGAGAAGACAACTGAGGAATTGAATATTGCAAAACAAGAAACTGATAAAGTAAAGGAAGAAAAGATAAACATCAAACGTCTATGGCAAGCTAGTGAAGGAGCGGGAGAGTGGAGAGAACAAAGGAGATATAGCGAGGCCACCGCCACAAGCCCCGTTGACCATCCATCTGACCGGGCGAGGAACACTGAACGGAGGAGAGAGCAATCGCCATTTAGGAGCAACGAAAGAAGCGAGAAGAGGAAGGAGCACACGAAATCAAGAAATAGCGAAAGACACGAGAGGATGAATGAACACAACGAAACAAGAAGACGCGAAAGACACGTCAGAAATGAAGGAGACAGAGAGCAAACGGTGGACAAAGAGAGAAAAGAGTATAATAGTGATAGTAATGACAGGAAAATTAAGAACGTAGTTATCATAGGAAACTCTCAGACAAGTGGTATAGATCCAGATAAATTTTCTCAAAATGTGAAATTACATAAAGTCACCAAATATAGAATTGAGGACGTTGAGGAGTGGATACAATCAAAGGAAGCAAAACAAATGATGTCAATTGCGGAAACTGTGATCATCCACGAAATAACAAATGACGTTAAAAGGTCCAGCGCACTGGATTGTGCAAATAGAATGCGCGAGCTTATTGGCTTGATTAAAGTGACTTTCAAAGAATGTAAAATCGTGGTGTCATTGGGCACACCCCGAGATGATAATCCTATGTTCCAGCAACGTGTAGACATTGTGAACAATATGTTGATGGCAGAAGCATTATATGACAGAAGGGTGAAAACTGTCCATCATAGAAACCTACTTTATCGAGGAACAATTAACAGTAATCTATTTAAGGATGACCGTTACCATCTCAATAAGGATGGAACAAGGGTACTAGCAGGAAACCTTCGATGTGCAGTAGAAAGGAGTTATGCACGAAACAAACGATGAATGGTTCATATTGTCCTCAATATTCAAGAGAAATGGTAAAATTTCGTTCGAAACGATTCAAATAATGTATTGTAAGAATTGTATTGCAAAACTGGAAAGTGTATTTGTAAGAACATGTATTTTAAAGAGAACTGTTAAGATTTTGTTCCATACGAATAAGATAATTCATTGTATAAATTGTATTGCAAAACGTGAAAGGATCTTTGAGAAGACATATTTGCCACACGGTCCAATTAAAACAAAGATTACTATCGGAGGTGGTCTCTCCTGTCATAACCTGAAAAGAAATGCGAAGAAATACAATAACAAAATATGTCTGAACAAAAAAACATAGAAATATGTTATTGGAATGTAAATGGGATTTACAAAATATGGGATGGGGCAAAATCTTCCTCAAAACTTGACGAACAAGATTTCGTGAACGTTTTTAATCAATTTGACATCATCTGTTTGGCAGAAACGAAAATTGGACCGAAGGAAAATATGTCGTTACAAGGATATACCGAAAAGATCATTTGCAGAAAGAGGCATAAAAATGCGAAATCGGACTCTGGTGGCTTGGCCTTATATGTTAAACAGGCTATTAAACATCGCGTCGCTATTATCAATAATACCTCTAGCGAATATTGCTGGATAAAACTACATAAAAATAAATCTGGTACATCAGATGATTTATATATTTGTTTCGCCTACATAAGCCCAGAAAATTCTACCTTTTCTTCAAACATAGATATAATCGATGCAATAATGAAAGACATCGCAAAATATAAAAATCAAGGAAAGTGCATGGTTATTGGTGATCTAAATGCACATACCAATACCATAGCTGATGCAAATGAGTTCGACTCAATGGACGACAGTAAAACACTACCTTTACCAAATTCATTGAGTTGTCCTGAGTCTATGACAAGGAGCAACCAAGACACCAGGCCCGTAAACAAAAGAGGAAAAGATGTAATCCAATTTTGTAAAGCTTGTGATCTAAGAATTGTCAATGGACGTAAATTGGGTGACCTGACTGGAAAGTTCACATGCTACGAGTCAAACGCCAAAATACCGAGCGTAATAGATTACGTTTTAGCTGAAATTGAAGCTATGGACGATATTCTTTTCTTTTATGTGAAAGACCTGAATATTTTCTCAGATCATTGCCCCATTGTTACAACCCTTAAATCGAGTATCTATACAAATACTAATTCATGTAGAGTTGAAAACCAGGTGTTAAAACCACACCCGAAAGCCTACATATGGGAGCCCCATATAAGCGACGAAGCTTTTATAAAAGCTCTGGGAATACCCCTCGTATTAGATAAAATAAAAGAAATAAAAGAAATGGTTTATGAGCCAAATAGTCAAGGTATCGAAAGCGCAGTGAATGACTTTACAAACTGTATTTTAACAATTGCCGATAAAGCTAGAATAAGGCAAAAAATACACAGAGTAAGAAAGAAACGGAAGAAAAGAAGAAGAATACTAAGTGCCGAATGTTACGCCCTAGGGCGTCGTGTAAAGACGCTGTGCAAACAAGTGTGTAGAAACCCTTTTGATCGAGGCCTTAGACAACTGTATTACGCTAAGAAAAAAATGTTAAAACAGAAGTTGAGAGATATAGTACGCAAAGAGAGAAATCAGATCATAGACAAATTGGATACTCTGTATAGTGAAAACCCTAAGGAATATTGGAATCTGATAAAGGATCTAGAAAATTTACACACTGAAAAGAAAAGACCTGGAAACAGTATACAACCAAACATGTGGTTTGACTATTTCAAGAACCTTATGAACAAGAATCCAAAACTGTCAAAAGAACAAAAAGAAATTAAAAACTTTACGGACGACGCAATACTGCAAAAAAACTTCTCATCTTTAGATTTTAGGATAACTCCAAATGAAGTTCTAGGATGTATTGAAAAATTGAAAAGAAATAAGGCCCCAGGAAATGATTCAATTTTAAACGAAATGCTAAAGGCAAGCCGATTTGTTTTGACACCGATTTTAGCAAAGATATTTAACTTAATCTTAATTAGTGGTTGTTTCCCTGAAAACTGGTCAGTGAGCCTTCTAAAACCGCTTTATAAAAGTGGGTCTGTATGTGACCCCTCAAACTATCGAGGAATATGCCTATCCAGCTGTCTTGGCAAATTATTTTGTTCGGTTTTAAACCGACGTTTAGTACAGTTCCTTGAAGACAATGAACTGTATAAACCCAATCAAATTGCGTTCAGAGCGGGCTACAGAACGTCTGACCACATGTTTGTTCTAAAAACAATAATAGATAAATATGTAAGAGGCCGGGCAAAGAATGATAAGAAAGGTTTATATATATGTTTTATAGATTTAAGGAAAGCCTTTGACAATGTTTGGAGGGATGGTCTTTGGTATAAAATGTTAAAACAAGGTATTGGTGGTAATTTTCTGAGAGTGCTACATGACATGTATTTAAAATGTAAAGTATCCATAAAACTAGACGAGGGCGTCACCTCGTGTTTCAATACGAATACCGGAGTAAAACAAGGGTGTGTCATTAGCCCGACATTATTCAATATGTTTTTAAATGATGTTGTAGATATTTTTGATACCTCAGTTAGTGAACCAGTAACGCTACATGACAAGGACTTGAACTGCATAATGTATGCAGACGATCTAGCAATTATTTCTAGATCCCCTCAAGGAATGCAATACTGTTTAGATAAATTCACTCAATATTGTAACTCTTGGATGTTGAATGTTAATGTCACCAAAACTAAAATAATGATATGTAATAAGTCAGGCAGGTTGAATGATAAGAGTGATTTTGAAATAAACGGGGAAAAACTTACCTCGGTAAAGGAAATGAAATATTTAGGCATTGTTTTTAGTAATAATGGATCGTTCAAAATGGCGACAAGGGACTTAGCGGATAAAGCCAGGAGAGCATTATTTAAACTTTATAAATCTTTCGGCAATTATACGCCCAGTATTAAAACCTTATTACACCTGTTTGATGCAACTGTACAACCAATTTTGCTTTATGGATCCGAAATTTGGGGTGCTAGTGCAATAGACATGAAGAAAATTCTTCAAATAGAAACAGGGAAAACAGGACTGTATTATAAAAACGATTTTGAGAAAGTACACATTCAGTGTTGTAAAAATATCTTAGGGGTAAACCGCAAATGCAGCAATTTAGCAGTTTCAGCTGAAATTGGAAGGCATCCTCAACTTATTCAAATTGCAATAAACATGCTCAAATATTGGATACGAATACGGAGTTTGGATGAAAATGGCCTTGTCTATAAATCTTTTGAAGAAAACAAAAAATTAGTAAATAACGAACAAAGCTGTTGGTTAATGTCAATTCGGGATATCTTTAGTTCACTAAATATTTGTAATAATGGAAATGAGACCGTATTGGACCCTGAAAATATACAAATTTCTCATAAAGATTTTGTCGAGTTATGTAAACTTTGTTTGGAAAGGAGATTTGATGAACAATTAAAACTAGACTTATTTGATGATAGGGATACCCGTAAAAGAAATAAACTCAGAACCCTCAGACAATTTAAAAACTCAATCAAGCAAGAAAAGTATTTATCTCATATACCAAATATAAATTTAAGAAAAAATATCACCAAACTACGTCTAAGCGCGCACAACTTACCCATAGAAACAGGAAGGTATAAAAGACCAGAAAAAACTCCCCCGAATCTACGATTCTGTGAAGACTGTAATATGAATCTTGTAGGAGATGAATTCCATATAATTATGAAATGTGACAAGTATAAAGATTTACGAGTAGATTTTATAGAAACAATTAGTAATCTGGAAGAAAATGTTTGTAATTTGGATAGTCAAGAAAAATTCATATTTATAATGAGATTAGATAATGAAGTTGTAATAGATAGGTTTTCTTTGTTCACCAAAAACATAATTGCAATGAGGGGTAATTTTTAGATACTATATGTTATAACAAAGTAGTCGTGTACAATCTTATGCTTTTGTTTTAGTTCTCATTTACATATTTCGTATTGCATGACTTATTGTTTATTTAGAAAGGTGTTGTAAATGTTTTATATTATGTTTTATATATCGATTGTTGCATTACATTGTAAAGTGATTATAACTATGTCTATAAACAGAATATTGATGTACATCAATGATGTTTAATAAATACAAATACAAAAAAATACATGAAATGCTTAATGAGAATGAACCTTGAATTATTAAAATTTCCCATATATGAACGGCTGGCCGATAGAAGTGGTTTCTTGAAGAAGAGCGATTATCTATCACTAAAGGAACTTGGAATTGAAAAAAAAAAAAAAAAATAGATTGAAAGTACAACATAATTTTTATGCCCAAAATTTGCGATAATTTGGATGTGACGGATGGTTAGCGAGAAGAGCTCCTGAAAATGACATATGATTGGGGAGGAGAGAGAGAGGGGGGGGGGGGTGGGGGGGGGCGATCCCGAGGGGTAGGAGGTAGAAGTGAGAGAGTGGGAAGGAAAAAGAGAGAATATAGTGAGCGAAACAGGGAGATGAAATGAAAATGTAAAGAAGTGATAATACAAATTATACAGACATTTTAAAAAGCTGAATATAAACATTAAATCACAAATCATTAAACTATAACATATAAATAAAAGAGATAAGAATGTTACACACCGTTGTAGGATACCATCATACCTTTGGGGCCTATGTGCATTATTATTCCCTCACTAATAACTTCTTCCAAATTAGATTTTCAATATCAAATTAATTATATAACGAGTATTTATGAGACTCTAGAATAAAAACTGGCTGAGAAAAGGTATTTTGCCTCAACTTTCTCGTCACAATAAACAAAAAAGTACGTATTGATAAACTATCACATTACGGTATCCTTCAACTACCCTTTGATTGGATTGTCGAGGAAAAAAAACTCACCGGTTTTTCTTCAATTTAAGAATCTTTACAGAAATATGCAAATCGTTTGATGATCTACATTTGATAATGACACTATGTATTATTTATTTTAGGATAATTTATATTATTATGTTTCTTTTTGAACAATTTTAGCCCTAAAACTTGTTTTGGGTTATTCGTGATAAATCAAATGGATCGTGACAAAGACTATGTTCTTAAGCTGCTAGTATTGCGATATATCGATATAATGTCTGTCATGGCTTTGTGAAACGGTTTATCCACTTCATGACATCTCCGTAGGTCGGCGACAAAGATATGACTATCATGGAGTTGGTTTCATGAAACGGCCCCCTGGACTCAGGTATATATAGGCCATAGAGCTATATACTACTAATATCTCTATGATATAGGCTTACTTATCACACTGGAAATCATCTGGGGTCAGGTACTCAGGGGGCCATTTCATGAAACCAACTCCATAACAGTCATATCTTTGTCGCCGACCTACGGAAACTAGTGTCATGAAGCAGGCGCGGATCCAGGGGGGGGGGGGGGCCGAGCGGGCCTTGGCCCCCCCCCCCCCCCCGCAAAAAAAAAAAAAAAAAAAAAAGAGAGAAGAAAGGAAAAGAAGGGAAAGGGAAAGAGGAGAGAAAGGGAAAGAAAGAAGAGGAAGAAGAAAAGAAAAGGGGGAAGAAGGAGATCGGGGGGCCGAAAGGGCCTTGCCTCCCAGGCTGTTGACCCACCCCCCCCCCCATAAAAAAAAAGAAGGAAGGAAAGGGAAAGGAAAAGAGGAGATACTGGCGTACTGATAGGGGGGGGGAGGCTTAGTGGAAATCAAATTCAAACGTGGTTTATTTCTAATTCTACAACGGTGGATTACAAATAATACTGAAATGACATCATTTCCAAGATTTTTCCTCACTTTTTAGTAAATTATACGTTTGTATGTGTTTGTTGGAAAATGACAAATTCCTAAATTTGCAGCAAGGTAAGAAATATGATTCTTGAGATTCATACATGTCAGGGCCCGAAGTACGCCGGGGATCGGGAGCCTCGAGCTCCCTACCCCCCCCCCCCCACCCCCACCCCACTTTTTTGGAGAGAGTGTATTAAAGAGAAATAAAATAGAATGAGAGCAAGAAAGAAAGAATAGTTAACTGCCAGTGTTAACAAATAATGAGGCATCAAAATATGCTCATCTGACCGTGATTAAATGCCTAAAACCCCTAAGCTTCCGTGGGCTCTGCCCCCTAGATCCCACCTAGAGCCCTACGGCGGGCCCTTAGATGCTCATCTGACGGTAATTTAATGCCCAAAACCCCTGATTTTGGGAGGGGCTCCGCCAGGCGCGGATCCAGGATTTCTTAGGGGAGGGGGCCCAACTTTTTTTTTTTTTTGCTCCCGAAAATTTGAAAATCGCGCCGGCCGAAAAGTCGCTCAGGGGGGGGGGGGGGGGGGGGTACAGAGCACAATTTTTTTTTTTTTTTTTTTTTTTTTTTTTTTTTTTTTTTGCTCCCGAAAATTTGAAAAACGCGCCGGCCAAAAATTCGCTCAGTGGGGGGGGGGGGGGGGGGGGGGGGGGGGGGGGGGGGGGGGGGTAGTGAGCACATTTTTTTTTTTGATCCTCTAAAAAATTTCAATTTGCACCCCCCCCCTTGAGCGCCAGGGGGGGGGGCCCACCCCCAAAAAAGGTAAAAATCACGTGATTTTACATGATTTTTTCTCAAGGGGGGGGGCCCGGGCCCCCCGGGCCCCCCCCCCTGGATCCGCCACTGGGCTCCGCCCCCTGGACCCAACGCCAAATAGTTATCTGCCAGTGTCACGATATAATAAGGTATACAAAAAAAAATATGCTCATAATCATGACCTTAATTAAACGCCTAAAACCTCTGAGCTTCCGGGGCCGGCTTCGCCGCCGCCCCGGACAAGGATTAACAATCGAGAACGGTACAGCGAATCGTCTTCTTTCTCTCATAATCTTATGAATCGTGAAGCTTCCGCGCTTCGCGCGGGAGGGGGAACCTGAATTCAGACAAGAATTCAGAGGCGAGAACGGTAATACCAATCTTTTATGATTTAATGAAACGTAAAAGCTTCCGCGCTTCGCGCGGGATGGAGGGGGGCAACTTAATTCCGACGAGGATTATTTTCGAGAGCGGTACAACGAATCGTCTTCTTTCTCTAATGATTTAATGAATATTAAAAGCTTTTACGCTTCGTGCGGAAGGGGTAAACTGAATTCAGACGAGGAGTAAGAGTCGAGAACTGTACAACGAATCGTTTTGTTTCTCTAATGATTTAATGAAACTTAAAAGCTTCCGCGCTTCGCGCGGGAGGGGGGGAGATTCTAAATTCAGACGAGGATTATTTTCGAAAACGGTACAACGAATCGTCTTTTTTCTCTAATGATTTAAGGAAACTTAAAAGCTTTCGCGCTTCGCGCGGTAGGGGAGGGGGAACCTGAATTCAGACGAGAATTTAGAGTCGAGAACTGTACAACGAATCGTCTTCTTTCACTAATAATTTAATATATCCTAAAATTTTCCGCGCTTCGCGCGAGAGGGGAAAAAACTAAATTCAGACGAGGATTATTTTCGACAACGGTACAACGAACCGTCTTCTTTTTCTAATAATTAAATGAAACGTCAAAGCTTCCGCGTTTCGGAGGGGGAAACTCGCCCCCCCCCCCCTCCCCTGCACCGACCCCCCCCCCGCATTACGTCACTGTTGGTCATCATTACGTACCAATATTTGGCTCGCATAATTTCAAATTTGGGCCCCCCCCTAAGAAATCCTGGATCCGCGCCTGCCTACAGAAATTTGAGAACATTATATAGGGGGACAAATAAATGGAAAAACTGTATGTAACCGTTCAAAACTTGCTATTTTTTGTCAATTTTGACCTTGACCTTGACTTAATGCAAAGCCCTGAGTTCTGGCGTACTCA